TGTTACACACTACATGGAGGGGAATTTTCAAAAACCCATAATATGGGCTCTTTAAAGTTACTCAAGTTAATGAGACAATAAAAGGATTAATTAAGTGATGGCTGTTAATAAGCAGAAACACAGAGGAGAAACAGAACTGAATTCAGTCACAGCCTTAGATGAAATCAGTTGAAATAAAATACATTGAATTTCTCAAAACCTCAGCAGAGGATCATTAAGCAACTGGACAAACAGCAGTTTTAGGGCCTACTCACACTATGCCATCCGTACCGTGCCCAGGCCCGTTTCCCGGATCGTTTGAGAAGTGTGAGTGCGCTGAATCAGGCTCAAGCACGGTTCACTTGGCCGGCCCTGGCCCGGTTGGAAGAGGTGTGCCTGAGCGCGGTTCACTTGGGCTTTGGCACGGTACTCTTGTGTGTGAGTGCAAAACGCGCCAAAGCCCGAAACTGAAAGCGAGACGTGACTTTTTAGGGGCTGTTTCATATGGATTTATTAATCATTCTTACTGTTCAGTGAACGCAAACTGCCGTAGTTTATTAAAGACGAGAACTCCTCACAGCATGACAGATGCGCGGCTTCAGCAGACTTCATCATTCCTGCAGCACGAGAGCTTTATGATTATTTATGAGCGCCAAAAGTGGCAGATCTGTTCGGCGAAATATCTGACAGCGTGTCACCGCATCCCTAAGGACTGTTTGGCGAAATATTTGACTGCATGTCACTGCATAACAATCGACTAAAACGATATAACTAGAGAAATCTCCACTGTGCTACTGAGTGAGATCGCTTCTCACTGAACAGCGCAGCAGCGATGACGTAAGCGTGCCGGGCCCGATATGGTGTGAGTGTGGGCCGTCCGGGGAGGGGGGAGATGGGACAAGCGTGCTTTGGCCCGGTTCGAGGCAACTGTACCTAGTGTGAGTACGCCCTTACTCTTTTACCAATCTGTTTGCCCTTATTTAAAGAGGGACCAAATGCTCCCTGAGCTAAGTAAATTTTACTCAGAGGATTTTGCTGTGTAAATGTTGAGGGAATTGTTATCTTTTGGGTGAATTGCTTTTTGTTTGTTTGATTTGTCCACCGCCGTTTTAAACATCCATTAATGTTTTACACAGATTTTAATGAATAAAGCATGTCAAACATCTTACAGTCTTTTTTCCTTAGCTGAAAAATCCTCCATCCTTAAATGGACATGCTACTTCCATAACTGTAGTGTATATTCATGTTTTTATTTAATTTATTACAACAAAGATCTCCTTTGGGTTTGCATCTTGAACTAAATTAAATTTGTTATGTAAATAGCCAGCCGACGATTAGACTGATTTAGCTGATAAAGCAGCTCTACAAACCTGAAATTCCTGTCCTCAGTAGCAGAAAGAAGCTGAAAATGACTTGCATTTTAGTACATTAGCGCGTAAGACTGTTAACTTGTGATTCATTGAAAAGAGCGAGCAGTTAGTCTTTACTATCGCCTTCTCCGCAGACTCACTTGCTGGCTATTGTGATTAATTACAGCAAGATCTATTAATTACCATGGATCCTGGATGAGTCAGAAGCTCAGAGGCCATAAATGCGCACAGAATTTCTACTGTAGAGATGTGTTCACAAGAGCACCATTAAGAGAGAGAAAATGAGTGTGAACATGGGAAATGGGGATTGCAAGGAAATCTGTGGAGATGGAGAGAAAGAGACAAGAATGACAGCAAGCCGGTGATAAAGAGAGAGAGAGGAAGCGAGAGGCAGCAGAGACGACAGCCGTTTGGGAACCGGCTAAATTGCTTTGTGTATTTCATGGCCAGCTTCATCATCAAAGCTAATTACTAACAGCTCTCCAAAGCCCTCTATATTTATCCATCCATTGATCGTGTGCATGTGTGTGTGTGTAGCCCTAATTTTGCAAGGAAAGCATATGCCTCTATTTCTAATGATTCTGATTTTTCTGTAAAATGAAATTTTGTCACTTTTATTTTGTTCTTTGACATTGTACGCCAATTAAGTACAAGTTAGTGCCCTCAGCCCCAGAGGAAATTATAGAGCAGAACAGCATTTTTCAAATATTTGATTTCAACATCTCAATATTAGATTTCTCTTCCTTCAGTAGGATGTAAAAATAGATATTTATGGATTTTGTAACATCTGTAAACATCTAATTTTCTAATCTGTAGTTACAATAAAGCTGTACTGTATATTTTCAAACATTTAAAAAAACTCTCTATCTGTATATTTTTAATTAGCTTTACTTTTAATTACATTTTTTTTATTAATTAAAGGTGCAGTAGAAATTCCAAGAGTTCAGTCAAAGCAGTGTGAATCAGCTTTCAGCTACTACGCCCCTCACTGCTGGAATCAGCTTCCAGAAATGATCAGATGTGCTCCAACATTAGGCACATTCAAATCAAGACTGAAAACACAGCTTTGCCTTTACTGAATGAGCACTGTGCTACGCCCGACAGATTGCACTATTATGTTTTTCTCTTCTCTTTCATTCTTTTATAACACATTTTATCTGTTTTTATGTTTTTTTATATAATTTGTATTATTTGTTTTTATTTTTCTTTTATTTGCTTCTTTTATTCCTGTTTAGGTAAAGCACTTTGAATTGCCACTGTATATGAAATGTGCTATATAAATAAACTTGCCTTGCCTTGCCTTGCCTAGGTGATTGCCTTCAGAAACATTTTTTGTTGTGCTGGTTGAAAGTCTCTTCACATTTCGATAGTAATGAGTAAAGTAAATGACCTAAATGTATTTTTATATTCTGGGCAAGGTCAAAGACATTAGAATACACAAGACATGTCACTTGTATCTTTTTGAATGGGGAAAAGTGTAATGGTCAATATGGTGCATAAAGCCTGGTCTACTAGTGCCGAAGCCAATCATCGGTCAATATATGGTGAAAAAAACCCGCCTTCTAGTATATACCATCGATCACTATAGATTGACAATACTCTGGGGAAGGGGCTTGGACCAGACATGAGTTTCTGCAGATTTTGTGTAATTTGGACGTTTAGAAATGAATCTAAAGAGACATTTGTTGTTTAATTTTATTGGTGATTCCTAATATGAAACTCAATCGTAAGCTTTGCAAGCAATTTTGGAGAATTTGATGTTTTCGAGCATACTGCCCGAGAGGTTTTTCAAAGATTGCAGCTGATTGAAATGACTTGCCTCAAAGGGACTTTGGTAAGGCATAAGACTAAAAAACTTTCATCCAATGAAAATTTATTAGGCCAATAATTACCATAATTCTGATAATTAACCCAAATTGTCAGTTAGCAAATGTAGATTTGCCACATGAATGAAGCCACATTCATGAATCAATCAATCAATCAATCCATATTAAAATGGAAGGATGACACCATGGCTGAACTATTTCTTTTAGACAGGTAATGTTATATTATAAAACAATTTTAGTCACGCAAAGCTTATGTAGATTGTGTTGTTTTATGAATGGGTTATAGGAAGTGTTGTTCAGCCATTGAAATCTTCCGATGAAAGTTGATGATGTGACTAATTTCAATTTCATACCTATTACAGCATCAATAATGTAGTTTTTACTTCGGTAACCAATAAACATGATTAAATAGCGCTATTCCTCCTAGCCTGTGTTACTGAGCTGAAGTTGATTTTATTTTCACATCCTATTGGTTAATTTTTGAACAGTGACAACCTGTGATGTTGTCTCTATATTGTTTGCCATGCTACTTTCAATATTCTGTCTGAAATAGCATGTACTGTAAGTATGGTTTAGTAATAAGTGTAATTTCTGCACTCTGGCGGCCAACCACTAAGCATGCAGTAGTCGCTTTAGGGCAAAGCGTGTGAGAAAGTGAGACCATGCATAAAATATTGCACATTATGACAAGTTTTGCTTGCTACACAACTAAAAGCGTGCCAGATTTAATATAGTTTTTTTTTGTTTGGAATTGTAGTATTATGAAGTATGACATGATCAAGTGGGTTGTCTACTGTCTTCTTTAATGTGCGCATTCGTGATTTCAGGAGGCATAGCTTTGGATGGCAGGGGTGGGACTGTGTTTCAAAGATATTATGCTAACAGATAAAATTTTGGTAGATCACCTGCTGCACCTTTAACTATACTTCAGGTTGTGATCCAGAAGTTTTAAAAACATCAATAAACCCACAAGTTATCAAATTAATTTTTTAACCAATAGAAAGCTTTACATTTGCATTTAGATTTAGTCATTTAGCAGATGCTTTTGTCCAACCTGACTTAAGCCTAGCTTATACTTCTGCGTCAAGTGATCAGCGTGACCCACAGCGTATGCAACGTGCGTAGCTTTGCATTCATACTTAAGCGCACTGCTTCTGTTGTCTGCAATAACACTTCCGAAACGCTAGCTGCAGTAGCTGTTTATGTACTTCTGTGTTAAGTTTCTTCGCTGGTGTTTAGTTTTTTCAGAACGCTTTCTCAATGTACAAGTGTTTCAAACTCGCTCATTTTGAGGCAGGAACCGGCGGACGTGCATTAACTTCAACCAAAAGGTAAACACAAAGCAAAAGTCTCCATCTGGAGCTCCTTGTTAATAGTCAACACTTGTAAACAGTCTCTCCAACGGACTCGGCGGCTCTCAGTCCCGCCCACACTCGTCAGCGCTTCCAAGTTGACCAATCAGAGAGCTTGTGCTACGCGTCTTTGCGACTTTTAGTTACAGTTTTTGAGAGGTGCACGTCAGCAACGCCGACAGCCACGGCGAGGGCTATGGGTCCACGTGTAGGCTGCGCTGTAGCACACACATGCTCTTGACGCAGAAGTATAAATCAGCCTTTACAGTTGGGGAGGCATTCAGGAATTCAACAGCAAGAGGCAATACACACATTAAGTGCTAATTTATACAAAGAACCTGTTAGTGCTCAGAGAATTAGGAGAAAAATGTTTCTGTTGGTCCTTTGTCAAACCAACTTTGCATGTGCTCTTCATTTCTTGGAGTTTGTTCAAATTTACATTGTTTTGTAACACAGCTCATGTGTGTTTTTAGGACATCCAACAGCAGTGTGACTTTGTCCTCATGTGCGTCGATGGAGCCGTGTGTGTCAGATGAACATTTCCAGGCACACAGTCATGCTGAACACACCTTCAGGCGTATGGAGGCCTACCTGAGGACCAGGAAACTTTGTGACGTTGTGCTTCTCGCTGGAGATCGCAGAATACCAGCACACAGGTAATAAATAGTATACTTATTAACAGTTATTAAACCTGTTTTAGATGTGTTTTCATCAGTATAGCACTAAATATAGATTTAAATGATCTCTGATTTATTCTGAGCTTGTCCTCTTTTGACTACTTTCAGAGGTTATCAAACACATTTGACTGGATAGCTTTCTAGATATAGGGTAAATTGAGGGGAAAACACTATATTTTATTCATAAGCAAACAAAAAAAGTTCTTTTGATAGCCAGAGTTTAGATATGTACAACAATGTACACTACATGTTAAATGTATATTGTTAACATGATATAAATGCTGAATTAAAAACTCATAAGAAATAAAGAAATGAAACGAAAATGAAACTTTAAAAATATTCACCGAAAATAGTTTATAATGCTGTGTTCACACCAGACGCGGATGAAGCATCAAGCGCGAGTGGTTAACATGTTAAGTCAATGCAAAGATGTGAATAGACATCCTGTGGCACGATACACGCTAATGAGGCGGCGGAATGAATTGGATTTGAAGCGATTTGAGCGTTTTTTTTTAGTCATTTGTGCCACCTCAATCACTCGAGTTAGAAAATCTGAACTATACCAGACATTCACGCCACGTTAACCAATCAGAAGCTTGCTCTTGGAAGGGAGTGATTATGACGTTGTGCCTATTGTTGGTGGCCTGGGAGAACTCCTCTAGCTGACAACAGCTCATGAAACTAGGCTAGGCTCAGTTGGAAGCACCGCTGAAAGCCTCCATCATCCAGGTATATTTTCTAGAGGAGTTGATGAATTCACAGAGCTGGGTGCACCTCTGAAAGGATCTAGTGCTCAGACCTGGCGCCAAATGAATATATACACTGTTTTTAGCCTTTCTTTAGCACATAAACATCAGGCAGAGTGTGTCACTGGGGAGTCACCTGGCAGACAGAAGCCCTGCCCATGACGTGAATCCGTATCTATTGTGAAGTGAATTTGACATGCAAATGAAACGAATTTAACGCACGAATGAAGTGAGTAAACCCAAAATATTGACGCGTCTGTTTGTGTGAACACAGCATAGGGGCTTTAATTTAACGATCTAAGCGCAAAGTCTAAAGCACATGGCGCAAAAGCATTAGGGCATGACTGAATCCACTTTTGCTATTTTAATGATAGAAAAACAAATACAGTTTACGCCTTGTCGCATGCTCTAAGAGGATCGTGCTTATTCTCTTAGAGTCATGGGTGTGTTTTGAGCATAACATGCATTAAATCAGTCTCATCTCCCATTCCCTTTAAGAGTCAGTTGCTTCACGCCATGGCGCATTTGCTATTTAAATGGTGGACTTTGTAAGTGGAAAACTGAATGCTTCACTAGCAAGAAAACAGTTAAACTGACCATCTGCGCGAGGATAAAAAAACGAGCCTCCTTCATTCGACCTCTTTATTTTCTCTTTACTTTACTTCTACTCTTTACTTTACTCCTTTACTTTCGTAGAGTAATGAAACAGTAGAAACTCACTCCACTGAAGACATCCATTATTCTATATATTTAATTTCATTTATTAAGCGCAAAACTATTTCTAAATTCAGTTCTAATCTCCTGCAAATGAACAAATGAACAATAATAACGAAATGTGGTCAAAATGAAGCAATGTCTAAACACACTTAATTCAGAGTCCTCTGCCCCATATAGTGACGCATACGTCTCCAAATCCCACCAAAACCCTTCAAAACAACAAGGTGGAAAACATGAAAATTACAGTTGCGCTGGTCTGAAAATAGCAACAAATCACTCTATGCCTGTCTTGCGCCTTATTGCGTTTGTTTTTTTGTTTCTTTTTACTGTAAGGTATGCCAATTACACAATCTTATCTCCCAATATTTGATTGAAATATCAGGAAAAATGTATACCCTCTTATTGACCCTTTTTTAACAGAAAATGGACAGAAGAGAATGATTTGTTTACTGCTTTATTTCACTGTATATTTTTTCTCACCAACTAAAAATATACCAGTTTGCAGCAAATAATGGTGGATCTTTCCTAATGAAGCATTACTTAGTTGAACCAAATGACCTCAAACTGAAATACACCAACTTTTGTAAACTCACTGACAGGTTTTTCCTCCATTGTGAGGTCTTTGACACAAGATATGTGAGAGGAATCAGTCCATGTTGCTGAATCATAAATGCCCTGGAGATGCTTGAGATGAGTGATGGTAGTTACAGTTTGCTGCTGAATCTAGCAGCCACGGCACATTTATAGCACACTCTATTGTCAGCAAGTATTGCAGTTTCTGAATTTTACAAAAAACTTTAGACTTTTGAAACGGTGGTGGTATTATTTTGAGTGTGCTTTTTGATAGAGTGTATTGTCTGCTATGGAAACTGAATAGGAAGAACAAGATGTTTATGTAGTGCTTCTGAAAAGGAAAGAAATAATGAGAGGGTAGATGCAGACTTCCATAACAAACATTTGCCATACGTGAACGACAGCATTCATAACAAAAATGAAAGTGCAGTAACTCCTACCACAGCTCCTTTTCAACAACTGCTCTTTTCTGACAGTTAAAGGCAATGCATCAATATATTAACGTCATATCAGAGTCATGAATATTTGAATATTCTTTCACTTAGTTATGTTGTTTTCACTTAGTTACGCAGTTTAATTGAAGGAACAGACGTTGTTAGATTGAACCTACTGTATATTTTCTGATGGCTGATAATAAAGTGAGCTATATACATTAAATCCGGTTAAAGGTCTAGTTGACACAAAAGCTCTGTCATCATTTACCCTCCACCCACTTATTTTAAACCTGTTGTTGCAAACACAAATACTTAGTGCTCATCTTACTGGATTTTTCTGTTTCGTTTGACATGATTAGCCACCAAATTCTCTTGCCAACCCTTAGGACAATGGGAAACTTATGAACTTTACTAGTAGTTCAGTTCTTACGACTCAGGTAGGCCATTCATCGTATCTTTGAGGGGTGAATGTCTGAGCCATACAATCTTGCTATTGGAGTGCCTCAAGGTGTAAAATTTGTCCAATTATTCCCGCAAACAAGTCCTAGGGTGTTCAATATTTGTTGGTGTTATTTGTTGCATTTTGCACTTAAAACGCACCACACATTCTCTATTAGAGACAGGTGGGAACTGCAGACAGGCCAGTTAAGTACCTGTATCCTCTTTCTCTGCAGCAAAGACTTTGTAACGTGTTTAGATTGTGGTTTTGCATTGTCTTGTTAAAATATGGATAGGTGTCCCTGAAAAAGAAGGCAGCACACTTGTGTGCCAGCATTACTATGTACTTTTCAGCATTAATGGTACCATTGCAAAAGTAACCTTTGCCAAGGGCACTGACACAACCGCATACCATGACAGACCCTGGCTTTTGGATTTGTTGATAGTAACAGTCTGGATGATGCTTTTCTTCTTTGGTATGTACACAGTGTCATTTTCTCCCAAAAAATACCTGAAATACTGATTCATCTGGCCACAGTACAGGTTTCCAGTGTGTAATGGTCCATCTCAGACGCTTTCCCGCCCAGAGAAGTCAATGGTGCATCTGGTCACTGTCAACATAGAGCTTTCTTTTGGCACAGTACAGTTCTAACTGGCATTTGTGGATGTATCGATGTATTTTGGTACTTAACAAAGGTTTGCCAAAGTAGCCCTGAGCCTACGTGGTGATCTCGCTTATAGATAAATGATCATTCTTGATGCAGTGCCGCCTGAGAGTTTGGAGATCATAGTAGTTCAGCTTAGGCTTGCTTCCTTGTCCTTTACACACTGAAAGTCCTCCAGATCATCATCTGTTTCAAGTGACATCATTATTTACCTGATTACTTGCCCCAAATTGCTCCTGTCACAACTTTTTTTTGAAATGTGCTGCAGGTCTGAGTGACAGTAAAGGATGCATATTTACAATTAAAATGAAGTGACCAGACAAATATGAAATATTGTGTTCATATTAACGGCAATGAAATAAAAGTCTAAGTAAATTTGGAAGTCACTACTTTCTTATTTTCAGTTGTATTTTCCACACTGTCCCAATTTTTCCTGATTTGACGTTGTACATACTGTAGCATCACCTGGTTCTTTTATCCAGAAACATGCCTTTTTCTACCATTGCTGCATTGATGCAGCAAACTCTACATCTCATTCCAGCGGGATAATCTGACAATCGCTGCTTGGGTATCAGCATGCCTCACAGATATCTCCTGGACCATCATCGTCAACTCAATCTTGTCAAAACAGAGCTGATGTAATCCCGCCCAACCCAACTCTTAACCATACAGCTGTACATCTCGACCATAGCTCCTAGGAACATATAGTAGTTCTTGATGATCAGCTGAACATTACAGACCACATTTACTAGAACTGTCTAATCATGCAGATTCACTCTATATAATATTAGGAATATTACACCCTTCCTATCCTAGCAGGCACACAACATCATAAGATGTTAATATTAGGTTAGATTTAGGTCATGAAGTCAGGTGACCAAAATTCAGTGCCTAGCCAGCGTCAATTTTTTTATTTTTTTTACATTCAATATCAATTAATTAATTCGTTTTTTTTTTTTTTTTTTTTGATTTTAGGTTGTGTTGGAAAGCTACCAAAATCCAACATCTGAGAGATGTCATAGTGGTAACGTCCACACAACATCAAGGTGTAACATGATTAGACATTGATATTTGGTTGATTTTAAGTTCATTTTAGGTTGCAAATTGGATATTGATGTCGGCCTGACCTTGGATTCTGGCGTCAACGCGATTTTCAATTTCAAACAAAATCCAATGTCCCCATGACGTTGGGGTACAACGTCAATATGACATCATGTTGATGTCCTGTGCATGCAGGGATTAGAACATGCTGCTTAATTGCTCAATTATAGAAATGCTTTCTTTGCTGGCTTTCCAATCAACAAAGCCCATCAAGTCTTTGCAAATGATTTGGAATACAGCAGTGAGAGTGGTCTTTAATGAACTACAAAAAGCTTTTCACACCTTTATTCATTAATCTACAGTGG